CAATATTGTGGAAATCATGGGCATTGGAGGCGAGATTCACCGGAGCTATCTCAGAAGCTCACTCTGGGAGTCCCTGCACTCCCTTCTGCATGCAGACTTCTTTCTGCCTCATAAATATTTCTAGCTTCTCACTGACATGTCTTGCAGTTCTTTCTGTGATGTAGATCAGTGAATCACTCTGTGAGTCGGGTGAGTTGAGGTTCCATTTCCTCTTTGGGGGAGCCTCTGTGGGCCCTGATCAGTGATGTGGCCAGCCCAGTCACTAGAGGTGAATAAAGAAGCCTTTGGATGGTAGATGTCCTGACCCACATTTGTATAGAGAACCACCTACCTCCTTCTAGTTTGCCTACGGAACTTAGAAATTTAACAATAAAAGGCTTTGGGTCACTCAGCTATGGGCTGGTTGGTTAAGCAGGAAGAGGTGGAATGACAGGCCTGAGACTGCATGTCCTTTGTTATCCAATCAGCGGTGACCATGAGCTTCCTGTGTTCATAATTTTCTCAACTGTCCATCCCTTACCTTGGAGGGGCAGTAACTCACCCTTTGGGTAGACTTAAGGAAGAGACTTTGAAAGTGGAAATTTGCTAAGACCTTTGGAGGACTTGATAGCTCAGGCAGGGTGGCAGCTGGTAACGAGAATGGAGATCTGAATATTTGCCACATGTGAAGCGGAGGTCTATAGCCACCAGCCATGACTCTAGCTGGCCAGTCGCTGGCAGGATAAAGGATAAATGAGAGGACATGGATAGTCTGTCGCTACCCATTCCTTCCTTCAGAACAGTAATAATAATAATCATAGTCATTTATCAAGACTCCGTCACGGGGACTTTAAATCTTCATTATTTAGCTACACTCAACTGGATCATGTTTGCATATCTGATTCCCAAACCATTCCACGAGATCTGTACAGTTTGTATCTATTAACCCATGTTTTACAAAAAGGAACACTGAATTTAGAAAAAAGGATTCACTTCCCAGAGCTGTTACCCGAGATGTGATGCCTGTTTTCCCTGACTCCAAATCTGATTATGCATCACAACAGCACCAAGAGGACAGAGTGCAATGTTTTCATATATGGCAATTTAAAGAGACAGCAGAGGTGATGCATGGTGCCCAAGCTGGACCACAGATGGGCCAGGGCACAAGGATGGTTACCTCACTGCCCCAAAGCATCCCCAGTAAAGGCTCTGGGAGATTCTGGCTTCACACTAATATGCACTAATATGCACCAATACGCATGCTTTACTCCTCAGCAATGCTACTTCTCATTGTAGGGAGACACATCCCAGAGTGTAGCCCAGAAGGGGATTTACAGTATTATCCATCGTAGCTTTACTGATAGTGGGGACGCTCGACATGAACAAGGGTGCAGCAAAAGTGGGTTGATCCAAAAAGATGGTTTGACCTAGAATTCAGGGTGGTGTTTTTTACACAGCATGTGTTCACATGGAAACCCCTACAGAGCAATTTGCTAAAGTACATTTTAGGGTAACCTCTCAAAGTGGTGTATTTTATGAATCTTTCAGAGTATATATATTTCCCCCACGCTAGGGGAGACAAAACCAGGATCTCATACATGTTAGTCAAGAACCCTACCTGAACCACATCCTCAGCACAAGATTATATTTAAATGTAGTCATCTCTTTGTGTTGATGGGGGAATTGGTTCCAGGATCCCCTTGGATACCAAAATCAGCGGATGTTCAAGCCACTTATATAAAATGGTGTAGCATCTCCATAGAAGCTACATATATCCTCCTGGATATTTTAAATAATCTCTAAATGACTTACAATACCTAATACCATGGAAATTCCATGTAAATAGTTGTTACATGGTATTATTCAGAGACTACTGAATGACAAGAAAAACTCCACATTTAATAAAGAGGCAGCTTTTTTATGAGAGGCAGTTTTTAAAAAAATCATCTCAGTTGAATCTGCAGATATAGGAGCCATGGAAGTAGAGGGCTCTGTGGAGGGTATTTTTATGATGGACATTTTAGGAAAATTCTGGAAGTCTGGAAGCACTAAGGGAGAAAGGAAATGCTGAGAGGCTGAACAAAGGGGACCTCCTGTGTTCCTACTATAAATTCTTGTGAGTGCTTAATATTTGATAATGTATTCATGTAGTGATCTTAATCAAACTCTGCGGGTGGAATCAGCCAAGAGGAAATGACTTTTTTTCTTTCCAGAGGACAAGACCCAATTCCACTGGATGAGGAGAGAAACAGAATCTGTTCCTTTCTCCCTGAAGACTTGTTTTAATATTCTTCCAGGCAGTTCTACTAATATCCAGTGTCTTCATGCAAGGGCTTCTTCCAAAAGCTATAAATTCCTAGATCCAGTCATAAATCTGAGGGGCAGGGTAGTGGGATGCACGACTGTCACCAGATTCTCAGAGGAGACAAGTGTCGCACTTGGTAAAGTGAGGAGATTGACAAATAATCACAGAGCAAATGAACAAAAAGTGTCTCATACTCCCAAAAGTCTGATTACCCTTCTATTGCAGTCTCACAGCAAGGGGTGACAAGAGCTGCCCTTCCTGGGGCTCATCACATCCCAGGCACCTCTGCCAGTGTTATCTGTTAGCCACTGCCAATAACCCAGGACGTTTTAATATCCTAATTTACAGTTGAAGACACAGAGCCACAGCCCACTCAGCTGGAAAGGTTAGCCTGACCCCAAAACCCCTGCTCTGAATCACTGTAAGTCACTGCTTTCCCAAAATCTCACGCATTATTGTGAGCTAGAAGGGTGTAAGGCAAGACTGTGTGGATAAACACCTTAACTCTTAGAGACACAAAGTTCTTTAGGCCCAGTTGATTCCTTAGCAGGTAAGACCTGTTCAGTAAAGAGTTAACTCAGCAAGACTGGACATTTCAAAGAAAGAACTAGCCCTGGACAAGTTCCTGGGCTTTAGGCCCCCAGATGATTCTCCCTGACAGCACTGTTCTGATAACTTCGGGCTCAGGGCCTCACCAGGCCAGAAGTTGGCACTAATAATGTGATCATGATGGGAGCTTTGGGCCGCACTGTGATACACTGGCCACTGGAGGGAGGGACTGGTGACTACATAAGGTCAGTCACGTTTGCTCCAGGCCTGTGTAACTGACCTCTAACAAAAATCATAAATGTCAAGGTTTAGTTGAGCTTCTGGCTCAAAATTCTACATTTGTTTTGTCACACATTTGTGCAGAGAGGAAAAAGCAAGTGGCTTGAGACTCCACGATAGCTTTAGCCAGGTCTTCTGGATTCTGCTCCGTGAACTTTCTGATTTGGGTTTGTATCCCTTCGTTGTATATGCTGTAACCATAAACCTAACAGCTACTCTTGAGATAGTTCAGAGACATCCATGAGGCCAAAGGTCAGGTACACTCCCGAGCCTACAGTATGTGTTCTTCCTACCCACCCCCTCACTCTGTCCAACATTGCTATTGACCTCAAAAACTAGGTGCATCTGCTGGGTGTGGTGGTGCAAGCCTGTAATCCCAGCACTTAGGGAGGCTGAGGAAGGATTACAAATTCGAGCCCAGACTTAGTCACTTAGTGCCACTCTGTCTCAGTGCAAAAAACAAAGGTCTGGGGATGTGGCTGAGTATGAAGGCCCTGAGATCAGTCCTTAGTACTACAAAACAAAGCAAAAACCCAGGTGCATTACGAAAGCAAGGCTTCCTGGGCATCTAGGTCCCTGAATAAACTAGATGAGAAAATAAAACTCTTGGAATCATTTCAGAGGGACAAGGATCAACGAACTCCCAGGTCCTTAACCTATTACTCATTAAAAGCATGATTCGTGTTAACCTCTGAGGTTGTCTGAGAATTAACAGCTTGCTATGGTTTGGGTCCAGCAAATCCCCTAAAGCCTTGTGTGCTCAGAAATTGGGCTTTTGGATGGCAACTGGATCACAGGGACATTCCATTCTCAGTGGATCCATTCATTGGTGGGTGATAGCTGGATGTGTCTGTCTGGAAGAGGGATCACTGGGGGGTGTGACTGGAAGGGTGCGTCTCCTCCCCTGGTTCTTCCCTACTCTCTGCTTCCTGGCTGCCATGACTTGAAAGGCTTTCCTCTGTCAGACCCTTTCAGCCTGGAGCCAGACAACTATGGACTGAATCCTCTAAAAACCATGAGCCATAAGACACCTCTCATTTAGGTTGATGCTGTGGGGTATTTTGTCCCAGTAACAGTTGGTTTTGAAAAAAGAAAATCCAGTAACTCTTCACTGTGTGCCTAATGGGTAAAACTGAAAACTGGATAAAGCTTGACACCACTGCCTTTATTTTGTGTCTTTTATCCTTAAAGCTTTGGGTCAGATCCCTGCTCAGCCATGCTGCTCACTTAAGGGACATCTGAACACGTGTATAAAAATAGATAACATAAGGTTTATTAGCCCTAAATTTATATACACTATCTCATCCTCCTTCAAGACTGAAGACACCCAGGTGAAAAAATTTACAAACATTCTACTGAAGGTTTTATCTCTTGGAATGGGTACCTAGAAGCCTCTAGCCATTTCCCAAAACTGAAGGCACGTTGGATTATAGCAGAGCCACAGAAACACTGAGACCTCGGTCCCCTAAAGCAGAAGCAATTGTCTTTTGGGAACCAGATGCCCCCTCCGGCCATTAGGGCTTCTGCAAAACTAGATTCAGATAATGATCAATCTGACCCAGGGCTACTTCAGTGCCCCATAAAACTGCTTCTCTCCCTTGATAAGGGCCAGCCTGACCTTGTCAGAGCTGTGGCTCCTTCAGCTACTCAAGCTGAAGTCCCTTCCCATTTCCTTTTACTTTCCAGTGAAAACTTTGCTTGTAAGAGTGTACTGCTGCTTCAGTTCTAATTTCTGTTCTCCCTGGAGCAAGCACCGAGGGGAGCCAGTGACACTCTTGTGTTCTGGGACCTAGTGATCACCAAACCTGAGAATGGCCTTGGGGACTCCAGACAGAGGAGTTCAGCTGTAGCAAAACAACCCAACTCAGGAAAGAAAGGCACAGACAAATGAGCCTCTGTTCACTTTATTCAAATAATTTCTTTATCTCTGTTAAACTGAATAGAATCGTGGAGAAATCAAAGAAAGTCTCATATATTAAGATTTTTAAATAGATTCTTTGAATTCAAAGTAAGGGTCAACAGGCGAGGCACAGGTTGTGGGCCTTGTCTCAGCAAACAAAGCCACCAAGGCGGTCCTGCAAATTAAGGAGATGGCAAATCCACTTCTTTAAAAAAGTTCTTGAGGGGAAAAATATGAAATACCTAGGTTTCAAAAACCGGACTTCTTTTCACACTCTTTGCTCTCTAGCTGGGAATGTCCAAAGAGAGTCTCAAGGTTCATTTTCAATGATTCAGCTTTTGCACACATATGCAAATACATTCCTCATTAGCAGTTCTGTTTTGGCAATTAATAGCAAGCAATATGCTTGGATTAGAGGCCTGATTTCCACTGGAACGTGGCTTTTCCTCTTCTTGGCAAGAAAGCCATTTGCAGAGATCTGAAAGAGGGGAGACTGCATTAGGCCTGGATTAACATCTCTGAAATAGAGCTTTCATACTTATATGTGATTGTAGAACAGATAGTCGTATCCATTCCCATAAGCATGCAAGGATTTACGGTTGCATCCCAGATGGCCAATTTTAAAAATATCCCTGGGGTTCTTACCCACCTCTCAGCCTGCATCCATCTGACCTTCAAAGATGCACTTTAGTTATTTATAAGGCGCAAATGGCAGTGGTTATGGGGCTGATGCCAATGAAGTTTTGGAGGAAAAAGAATGATTAGCATCTACCCAGGGGCAGCTCTGTGTCAGGGGTTTGCGTCTTCACTGTGTAGATGGCATCTACATTGAACTGAATCAAGGAGTAAATCTGGTTTTATAAATGAGAAGGGCCAAGTGTTCAGTCATGGATTTGCAGAAAGTGAGTGAGAGGAATACAGTTAGGGAGAAAATTGGACAACATGCATTCTCAAAGTGAGGGGTCTTTTGTGGAATTAAACAGAACTCTAGGGTCTCAGCACAACTCAAGATGGGAGCCCTGATAATGGCTGCTGTCCCCAGCCTGAAAAGTATTTAAAGAAAAGCTAATGAGTATGTTAATTATATTAAAAATAGGATGAGGATATTAAAACCAGCCCAGGCTAGCAGCCCTGCTTCGTTTTAAAATTATGGGAGGACTGGGGTGCAGCTGAGTGGCAGAGCACTTGCATAACGTGCACACAGGCCCCAGGTTCCATCCTCAGCATCAAATAAACAGATAAGCAAACAAATCTAGAAGGAAAGTACAGATGGTTCCTGACCTGTGTCCTCTGAGGGGTTCCCTCAGTTCCCCTAAGCCTGATCCGACTGAGGACTTAGGCTCACTCACTTTACCCTTAACCGCAGTGCCCAAGTCACGGCAGTGCCTCCCACTTTCCAGGCCTGAGCATTTCCACTTGGCCCAGCCCCTGCATCCTTTCCGCACCTTCGGAGGGGGGCACTATATAACCTATCTCACCTTCAAGACTGAGGACACCAAGATGAAAGCATATAAACGTTCAACTAGAGGTGTTACCCCCTTGGAATGGGTACCCAGAAGCCTGCAGACATTTCCCCTGAGACTCAGGCATCCCTGTCTCCAGGAGTAGAAAACAGAGGCTGAGAGGTATTAAAACGGGAGTTCTGTTATCTTAGGAGTTCCAAGTTCAAAATCCCTTTATTACTTCTTTTTGGTACCAGGGATTGAACTTGAGACCTTGCGCTTGCCAGGCAGGTACTTACACTGCTGAGCTAAATCCCCAGCCCTCCTTTTCTTACTTCTTTTTAAACATGGAAGGGTTAACATGCACTTAAAAAATAATTCATTAAAATCAAACTCTGGGGGAGATGACTCTTAGAGGAATTCTGCTGCCTGGTGGCTGTGTAGCTTTGAAGTTAAAGGCCCACTCCGTGCTTTGGCTTACTCCTCTGTAGAATCACAGGACTGTGTTGAGAGTTAAGTGAGGAACACAGATGAGTACCTGGCCTGATGCCGTGGTTATTATTCTTAGAATAGAACTGCCTGCAACTATTATTGGAACATTAATTGCTTTGAGCCAGACCTGATGCTCATTATAGAAGCCGGGTTGGCGGCAGCACTCTGTGCAGAAATGCTCTCAGAATCCCCACCAGTGGGCCTTCTGGCCCCCTCCTGCTGTCTGGACAAACCTTGTTGATTCAGCATCAATCGCTGCCCCCATCCCTGATCCAGAACTAGGAGACTAAGCCTCCATTCCATAAATAGCTCCCCAGCTTGTCACCATGGAAACCTCTGATGGGGCTGGGTCAGCCCACCTTGGTGGACACTTGTCCCCAGGCAGGCTCCTGAAGGACAGGCATTTGGAAAGGCGATGCCCAGGCTCAGAAGCAGCAAGAGCCCCCAGTGGGCAGGCCTACCTGGAAATCATGAGTTTCCTATGTGGGAGGAGGTGCTGTTCTGGTTCACCTGGGGAGAGAGAAGAGGCAGAGGAAGGGATCATGGCCAGGGAGTGAATGCAGGTTACAGCCCTCAGCACTGTGAGTCACGCCCCACTCATCAGATGCTGACTGCACACAGGCTAGGTGCCAGGTGCTTACATTGAGCACAGTGCACCTGCCCTGGTCTTCTGGAGCTTACTTTCTAGCTGGGAGAAGAGTCTGTGAGATATACACACATGCAAGGCAGCATCTAATCTGGGTGACATAATGGGTTTAGAATGATCAGGACAGGACTCTACAAAATGACACACATAAGGTGCAGTGTACTGAATATTTGGTCTTTGTTCTGGATCCTGGCACATGACCCCTAAAATCTTTGGGATCTGTGTGTCAAGATTATCTTTGTATGCTCAGGAGATGACTAGGGACAGCTTTAGGATGAGGGTGGTCATCAGGATCAGGGAGCTCAAAATTTCAGTTACATCCCGAGTTCCTGGGTGGGCAGAGGCCAGTGATTTCATTACTCATGTGTGGGTAAGGAATCACCACAGCGCCCCTGAAGTGACAATCTGGAGGGCTTCCTGGGTGGTGAGCACAATGAGACGCTTGGGGGTGGGCAGGTGTGGAAGCTCGATGTTCCCTGCCTCACTCTGTGCACCTCTTCCACCTAGCTGTCCCTGAGTTGTATCCATTATGATAAACAGCTGCCTGTAAGCACAGTGTTTTCCTGAATTATGAGTTCTTCTTGAAAATTATCACACTAGAGAGGAGTATGTGGGTACCCCACTGGAGTTCTCACTTGAGATGGGACACGCATGTGTAACTGGACTTTCTACCTGTAGGACTTGAGACAAATGTAACTATCATCAGTACTGAGCTGAATTGTGCAACCCCCGGTTTGGTGTCTGCATCATTATAGGTTGGTGATGGAAAACCCCCATGAGCCAAGACCTGAGGGATGCAGCCAGCACAGTGTGATTGATGGCTTAGATGCAGAATGTCCCCTGAAAGTCTCAAGTGTTCAGAGATTGGGCTTTTGGAAGGTGACTGGATCATGCTGGTGATGAATTCATAGCTGAATGTGCTGTAAGAAAGCAGGGGTCTGCTCAGAAGAGGGAGGTCACTGGGTGTGTGACCTGGAAGTCTGCATCTCCCTCCCTGGCTCCTCTGTTCTCTCTGCTTTCTGGCTGCTAAGGGCTAAGCAGCATCCTCAGCACAGGCCCTTCCACCGTGCCATTTGTGCCTTGGAGCCAGCTGACCACAATCTAAACTGTGAAAATAAACCTCTCTTCCTTTAAGTTGCGGGTCTGCGTATTGTGTCTAACAACAGGAAGTGACTAAGACAGTGAGCCATGTGAAAATCTGGGTAGAAAAGCTTCCCAGCAAAGGGGACAGCAATGACTTGGAGGGGGAGGTGGCTTTTTGCATTTGTTGCATTTCTAATATGGAAGTTACTTTGTTTTGCTTGGTTGCCGTTTTCCTGACTTTGGGGTTTCATGATTACCCCTTTGAATGACTACATGTGTCCCATGGAATGCACACGCCACCATTAATTGAAGGCCTCCCTAAGACAGTTTTTCAGTCGTTGTCATGTCCTGAATGATGTCATGCGCTCAAGGAGGACAGTGGAGGAGGAGAGGGCAGAAAGCAGGGCTGTCAGGCCGTTTCCAAGGCAGCCGTCCTGAGAAGGGTATGTGTGTGATGGCAAGGACACAGCTATCCCTTCATGTTACTCCTCATAGCGGCAAAGCAGTTCCAGTTCAGTGCAGTGTGTCATACACACCAGTGCTGCAGTGGAATATAAACTGGTCCAACTGCCTGGTTAGAGTTCAGCCTTGTTTTGAGTCACTGTCTTTTCCCTACGAACTCCACTCCAACCAAGTGTATTCTAGGAGCATTTCTCAGGGCCCCCTTAGCTCACAGCAGAGAGGCAAAACCACCATGGTGAGCACATCATTCAGGAAGATGCAATAACTGGAAATGATCCTAAGGAAGCATTTAACCAATTGTGTCAGGTGCATGATAAGAGAATATTATGTGGCCACTTAAACAGAAATAGTCAAATCTAAGATGGAAAGGTATTAAGACAGCGAGATGCATCAGTTCACAAAGGAACTGCAAGGATGCAAAATGCATATATAGTTTGAGTGTCTGCCTGATTCTTGGAAAACTGAGACTGGAAGACTGCAAGTCTGAAGCTAGCCTGGGCAATTTACAAGACCCTACCTCAAAATAAAAAGATTTAAAAGGGCTAGGGTTATGGCTCAGTGATAGAACAGCTGCCTACCATGTGCAAGGCCTTGGTTCAGTCCCCAGTACCACACACACCCACATCCACACATGCACACACAAAAGCATATACAGACAGACAAAAGAGACAACATGAAAAAACGAAAACAATTTCAGATTGTAAATTATGCCCCTCATCCCCACCTCCATTTTTTGCTCTTGTTACATCTTTTAGGTTACAGTAAATATTTTAGGGCTCACTAAAGTAGCAAAGGTGGATCTTAGGGTGGCAACACTAGATCTCGAATTCTCACAAAGGGACCATGGACCAATCCAGAAGTAACTGGAAAGCGCTCAGAAGCTGGGCCTCTGCTCCAAGCCCCCAGTTCTCAGAACTCATTAACTTGAGAATTAAATTGGGGAGGCCTAGAGAGTAGGCCACTCTTTAATTTGCCAAACAAAACAGATGCACAAACTAAAACTATTGATTTTAGCACCACTTTTCCATTTAAAAGGGGGTATTCTTGGGCCAGGGGTTTAGCTGAGTGGCATAAGCGCCTGCCTGGCAAGTGCGGGGCATGAGTTTGATCCCCAGTATTGAAAAAATAAATAAATAAAAGAGGGTATTTTTAATCAATAAATCAGAAGCCTATAGGTCTTGTAGAAAGGTATTATTACTGACTAATAGGATGCCTTTGCTTTATGCATGATCCAAATCTTTGTTTTATATTTCTTTTACCCAAAATATCTAGGCATCTAACATTTTCAATCAAAATTCCAGTCCTATACTATGGCTTATACTGGTTGTAAATTGCTAAAGCTAGGATTTCCTAGGCTTTCTGAGTATGTACATTCTGTGTAATAAAGCTGGTTGTGGTGAGAAGAGGATTATATACTAACTAGATTATTTCATATTTGTATACATTATTTTGTGGTACTGATATTATAGAAAGTTTGGAATGTCAATCACATTTCATGTGTATCTTTAAACAAATATAAGCCAATTAAAATATTTGGAGACAAGGGTATCATGTTAACTTGTACAGATAAATTTTAACTGTTGTATCATTAAGATTCTTTTATAATGCCATATGATAGCTGGAGAAACTAAGTTCAATGATTATCAAATAAAAAATAAGTAACTATTTGGGGAGTGTTTAGCATCAATGGGATAGCTTTAGTGTGAGTAAAAGGAACAGTCTGTGCTGTGTCATGAAGGCCTACCCCTGGTTGATGGTGACATGATGGTGACATGGTGATGCAGATGTTCTGAGACCTGTGGGAGGCCTGGCCATATGGATGCCCTTGGGAATACAGATGGCTACTCACATCTACATCCATATCCACGTACATCGTATTACCCTCAAGTCTCTCTTTTCTAGAGACATGGATGAAATTGTTGTACTTGTTTGTACTTGAGAACAGCTGTCTTAAATAAGACAGCTGAATTGGAGGCTAGAGACTGAAAGCTTCAGAGTGTCCCCACAAAGTCCTTCCAACTGTATCCAAGCTAAGAGACAAGGTGAAGGATGGTTAGGGCAGCAGGCTGCTGAGACTGGGCCCTAGCTAGAAAACTGCTTTAGAGACCCTCTGGCTCAACCCCCTGCCCCACCCAAGTTTATGACAAAGAAATGATCAGAACAGAGAAATGAACTGTTCAAGGGCTAGTGACACAGCCAGGAAGATCAGAATTCAGAATTCCCCTCAGAATTTCTAACCTGAAAATATCCTTTCAGATTGGCTGGTGTCTTATAGTCCCCTTTCAAGACCTGGGAAACAGAAAAGAAATCTCACTCTGGTGGAAATGACTGAAAAACAAATTTTAGTCCATCCTGACACACCCATCCATCTACTCGTATTTCCTCATTCCTCTTTCCCTTCATCCCTCCATCAGTTCATTCATTCATCTTTCCATCTGTCCATCCATCCATCCATCCATCCATTCGTCCTTCAATCCTTCTCTATTCATCCATCCATCTATTCATTCACTTAACCATCAACTCATCAATGCAGCCTTCTCCCCATCCATCCACCCATGCATTTATCCACCCAACATTTAATGAGCTTCTTTTATTCCAAGTATTCAGAGTATCAACAGTAGTCAGACAAAGGAAATTCTTATTCGTGAGCTCCCATTTCAGAGACTGTGCCAGATGACATACAAGTGAATAGTAAACAAATAAACAGGACATATGAAGTCATGGAAGTGCCATAAATTACATAAAGAGCTGTGATTAGGAGTGACCAGGGGTTTCTTTTCAATGGGTGGTCAGGAAGGGCCTCTTGGAACAGGTAAGCTTAGAGCTAGGACTTGAATGATAAAGGAAACCAACAAGGCTAAGTTCAGAAGGAAAAGCATCCCAGGTAGAGGAAATAGTGTGGGAAAGACCTCTGAAGTTGGAATCAGAACATTCTGGGCTTTCCCACTATGTCTTGGCACGGAAAGCGCCACATTGTCTGGTGCTGTCCAGTAGAAATATAATGTGAATCAACTATGTAACCTTAAATTTTCTAGTAGCTACATTAAAAAAATATAACAAACCGGGTGAAATTAATGCTGACAATATCTTTTTAAAAATCTATTATATGGAAAAGATGATCATTTCACCCTGTACCCTATATAAAAGTGACTAATGAGGAAACATTACATCCTTTTTTTTTTTGTGCCCTAAGAATTCAAAAGCCAGTGTGTATTTTACACTTACAGCACCTCTCACACAGGACTAGTCTTACATGATAGGATGGACAGCTGAAGGTGGCTGGTGGCTACGGTGATGGCTAGCATGGTACAGACAGCTCAGCAACTTGTCGGCTATCTTCACTGTGTTTGCTGCAGCCCAGGATCCATTACGAGATCACAGTGTCTGCTGTCTGTATGCAAACATGCGTTACTCATAAGGTTACTTTGAGTAACAGCAAAACAACTGGAAATATGAGATATGATCACAAAATACAGTGAATGTTTAAATTTAAAAAAATATTACAGTAAGAGACATATTATTAATCCCTCTCAAAATATTCCTCCACACTTCCAACACAATTATCCTACCTTACCCTATCCTATTCTTACATTTTCTGAAGCCGTTCTCAAGTCCCGTTTGTGTGTATCGTCAGCTGTACCAGTGATGATTCAAAACCTGGACTTCCCATGGTCATTTTGACTAGGGGAAGAGCCAGAAGTCCAGACCCGGCGAACAAGGCGGAGAAGCACACACTGCACGACCGACTTCCCAGTGGATGGCAGCACTCACCGTGCTTTAAGCTCATCTCAGAAAGACACTCAGGAAACGGGACTTCCAGAACTGCATCAGAAAGTGCGAGAGCAAAGGGCTAAGTGTGCTCAAAGGGAGTGGGAGTACTCTGAGGGAGAGGAATGACAATGTGTCCTTTACTGCAAGAAACTGTACTTTACATATGCGCCATATTTTTTGACCTGTCACTGTATCAAGCAGAGGGCCTGGCACCTGCCCTGGCTTATGGAATCCATGGGGAAGAAACTTCTTCGGGAAAAAACTAGGAACATCTTCTATTTTACACAAACAAAAACCTCCAAAGAGTTGATCTCAACCAACAGTGCTCATTAGAATTATTTATGATGCATGAAATACACAAAGTCTGGCCTTACTCTAGGAGCTTCTGACCTCACTCTAGGGCATGGCCAGGGACCCCTCACCTTTTAAAGGGAGCCTTGAGGAGCTGCTGCTGGCCTCAGCCTCCCCACCCCTGGCCACCAATGCTGTAAAACACAGGGGAACTGGACTTCAAGATGGTCACCAGACTCTTCATCTAGTCTGTTATCATTATTTGGGCAAATGATACCGCGTTTATTTCTGTTTTTTCTTTTCTCATGCTAGAAAAGAAAATTTTAAAGGGACTTGTTATTGCCAAATGGAGACTCTCTCCTTGAGCCAAGAGACGAATTTAAAGGAGAATTGAGGGAGGGATGACTTTCTCCTTTTGTGATTCAACACAGTAATGGTTTACTTTCTAACATCACATGTTCAGCACATGTTCAGAAATGCTGCGCTGAGCCCAAAATCAAGACTCTGGGCCTTGGTGACTCATAAACCAGCGAAGAGGGTTCTTCCTCAGTCCAGCTTCCAGGCTCAAGAGCAGGCACAAGTTGCTTAGTGACTGACAGGGACACCTCCTTGGAAATGTAATCCCAGGTAGCCATGCACTCGAGATGGAAGAGCCCACTGCATACCTAGGCTCTACGTGGGTGCAACACCAGCCCTGCCACATACACATGCAAAATGGGCAGTGATGACTTCAGCACTGACAGTGCCATTTCATGGGGACACCATCCCAGGTGTGTCTGGTCACTGACTACAATATCGTCAAGCTGAAAGTGACTGTATTTTAACTAACTTAGGGTCTCTGAGGGAGTTTTAACATGGCAACCAAAAGTAAACCATGAGCTGGGACCGGAACAGGTAAAGAAGGCCGTGACTTTGTCAGTTGTTCCTTTACCTAGTGTAGTGACCTCTTTTAACACTTCCAAACATCTATCTAGTTCTTTTCCCTTATAGCCTAGCACTTGAGTAACTGAGGCAGGAGGCTGCAGCATGGGCTATAGTGAGAACCTATCTCAAAAAGCAAACAAAAGAAGTGAGAAAGATACTTTCCTTGGCTACCCTAACTAAGGAAAATTTAAAATGTAATTTAAGCAAGATTTGTGCAGAATAGCTGGGACTATAGGCATATCCTACAATCCCAGCTACTCTGGAGGTGAGACAGGAGGACTACTTGAGCTCAAGAGTTCAAGACCTGGCCTAGGTGGTCCAATGAGACGCCCATCTCAAAAACAAGTTTTGAAAAAATAATCTAGATAGCTCTCAACTCATGTCTGTTTGTGAAGTCAGCATTAAACTTTAAGAACCAAAAAGGGACCTACAGTTTATATACTTATGCCTACCAACAGACTTGAAAGGAATCAACAAAGGATCAGAAAAACAGGAGAGCACAGATAAATAAAGAAAAGTAAGATGGAATTAGTGCACAAAGGAGTCTGCCATGACATGTTACACAGTGTGAAATACAGTTGCTTTGAGCTTCCTAGCAACCCAAGCCAAAATGGGAACACCAGCAGGCATACCATCCACCACGTCCACCCAACACTTAGCATTATGGAGACTAACGGTTTCCTCAGGGACCCAGAACTCACAGTCCTGCCAAAGCCCGAGAACGCGGCTCCATGCGTGCACTCACCCGGCGTGTGTTGTTGATGACGAAGGGGTCGGGGTTGCCATAGTTGGGTGGGTTTGCATACGGGTCATAGCCTAACCGAGCCAGCATGGGGGCTATCTGGGCCATGTCCCTCATCACATCCCCAGGAATGTGGCCAGTCCACTTGGACAGCGCTTCCAGGTTCACAGGCTTGATGACCTGGTCCGTGGACCGCTCGATCCTGGGGAGACAGAACAGTCTGGTGAGGGCAGGGGCAGCAAGAAAGGCTGGGAGCACCCGTCCCTGACCAGATCTGTGGCACAAACTGGGAACATGGCGAGACACTCTGCCTCACCTACTTCCTCTGTGCAATGGGGAAAGAGCACGTGTAGGGAACAGTGCTACCAGGTGGTGCAGAAATCCTGCTTCCTTGACTGCTCTGATGCTTTTAAAACAACTTTCTATGTTCGTGACTAACATAAATATTTGCCCTTGAAAAAATGATAAAATACAAGCCAGGTAGGTGACACATGCCTGTAATGCCAGCACCATGGGAGGCTGAGGCAGGAGGATCACAAGTTCAAGCCCAGCCTGAGCAACTTAGCAAGACCTTGTTTCAATTAAAATAATAAAATAATAAAAATAAAAAGGAGCTAGGGATGTAGCTCTGTGCAAAGACCCTCGGTTCAATCTTCAGTACAAAAAAAAATTCATATAGTAACTAAAGTCCCTAGAATCACCAGCTTCCTGCAGGTTTCTGGTTTTCACGGTTGTCACACACCCTTTCCATGCTTCCAACAAGAGAGTGGTTCAGGCCCTACTAAGCAGCCAGACTCCTGGGCTCAAGGCCAGCCATGGTAGCACTGGCGTGTGTGGCCCTGGCAGAGTTACCTTACTTCTCTGAGCTTTGGTTTCCTCATACGTAAATGGGAATAATAGCAGTGTTCACTGCATTGCTGTTCTGGAAAATAAATATCTTAATACAAAGGAAGTGCTGGGCAGAGTACATGAATCTCAGGAAGGGACTCCTCTGTGACTCTGACTCACGTGCAGGGCAAAAATAAATCTGTGGTTTTGTTTACAGCTCTTACTTTGGTTTTTTATCTTGTGGTACCGAATGTTAAACTCGGGACCTTCCTACTGAGCAAGATCCCAGTTCCTTCTTGTTTATTTATTTATTTTTAAACATTTTTAGACAGGGTCACTAAGTCATTAAGCTGCCTGAGCTGGGCCTGAACTTGGGTCTTGCCTCGCTCTCCCACAGTGCTGGGATTACAGACATCTGTCACCACGCCTGGCTATGCTTGCTGCTTTTAAAATAGAAGTTAAATGCCGTATTCTTGGGCTATGACTGTTTCCCTCCATGCTCCACCCTTTTTCAGTGGTGTCGGCTCCACCGTGTGACTGCCGTAGCTAACTCTTACTCCCGGGCACGGGTGTTAGGGTGGCTTCGTGCTCACACTGTTGATACAGCACAGCCACCGTCCCCTGTGCCTCGTGACTCTCCCCGGCACCAGGCCTGCCGAGCCGTCAGAACCAGGAGGGTCTTACCAGTTATCACCAGGGGCCTCCCGGTGGGCAGGGCGCGGAATCAGGCCGTATTTCTGGGAACTCACCCAGGTGATCACTTGGGGCAGAACGGAAGGCGAAAAATGTAGCAAAAGACAGGCCGGGCAGTGAAAGGGAGCGAAGGTAAAGGGTGTGGGAGGGTGGGAAGACCATGCATTTGGTGTCCGTGGACCCGGATATAAGTATTAAATCTGTTCCATGTGTCTGTGCATTTCACAGACGGGCACAGCTTTTGCCACCTTCACCTCTGCAGGACTTTACCATATAGGACCAAGATGCATCCCAGCACACTAACAGGAATAATGTTTCATACATACCAATAAAACTAGAAATAACCAAAGTGTCCAGTGACAGGGAGGCATTCAGTAGAATGCAGTAATCTGTGGAATGCAATATTATACAGCCATTCCAAATGATGTCACAGCAGAGTTCCAGGTGTCCCGGGGAAGTGGTTCCATTTACAAGGTGAAAAATAGCCACGGTAAATGTATTCATTAGGACTGTACCTTACCACTCTGGCCAGAAAAGGACCAGGAGGTGCTATAAAAAACGTGAGTGGTGGGATCAGAGGTTGCTCCCCAGTTTTCCGAAAAAAAGGTGTATTCCTTTAGTAACCTGGCTTTCTGTTGTGATCGTGTGGGCCACCCCATGCCAAGGCCAAGGGCTGTGAGTTCCAGCTCTGCTCAAGGTCCGGAGCTGTCAGATAGAGCAACAATGAGGAAAGGGCTGTCTCCGGTCTCAGGGAGGTTGCCCTTCTGCTTGCGTTCTGGGACACCTAAGTCTGATCAGGATGGGAATATGGACACCACACACTCTTGTTCCTGTCATTCCAGGGCTCTCGAAGGAGAAGAGGAAGAGCGCAGGACAGAGGGCAGGAGGTAGGGTGCGGGGCACCTATGGACTATTCTACACCACGCATTACCTCCTTGTGTGAACACCCAATCACTGGACACTTGGGTTGGGCCTGGGAGCTTAGGAGCAGACACTCTGGAGTCCAGTGGACCTGTGTGCAAATCCCAGCACCACAGACTGCTAGCTGTGTGAATCTGGGCCTTCAACTTTTCTTTGAGATTCAGTGTTTTCATCTCTAAAAGATCAGAGCCAGGCATGTGGGGACCAGTTTCCCAGCTATTTGGGAGACTGAGGCAGGGGTGCAAGCTGGAGCCCAGGCTGGGCAACTTAGTGAGACTCTGTCTCAAAATAAAATAAAAAGGGGTGCGTATGTAGCTTAGCACTCCCTGAGTCCAATCCCTAATACCAAATAAATAACTAAATACCTGATACCTAATAACTAAATACCTAATACCACAAACAAAATAAAAACTAAAATAGCATGGGGAGCAAAACTAAAATAACCCAATCTGGAGATTAAAGGCATTGGTGTCTGTTGGGGCACAATCCAGGACTTGCTATGTAGGAAGCCCTTAATAAATGGTCACAATGGTGATGTTGATATGTAGTCCAATAAATGCAGTACCAACACGTAAGTTAGACCAGTGACAGCATTCACAGCACTGATGACAGGAGTAACAGCACTGTGTTACATCCAACCTGTTGGATGCTCAGAGGGTGTCTACGAGGCAGACGGGTAGATTTCCAATGAGCAATGAAAGTAGACAGCTTAGGTCACCTGCCTGAAGTCACACTGCTGAGAGCTGGCAGAGCAGGGCTCTGAATGCACCGAACTTGGAATCTGCTCTCACCTTAACCTTCTCCCTCTGGGGCCTTCCCCCAAAGCAAGGTCACACCTCACTGATTCTCAGAGAAAAAAGGGGCTGCTCCCATGTTTCTGGATATTGGCACTGAGACTCTTGAGAGGAAGAGCAGCTTACACCCTGCCATGGGGCTAGGGAAAGGGAGCCTGGTATCAAAGGGAGGGAGACTGGTACCCTGAGAGGTTTTGGGGGAACAGAGACCTGCCCAAGGCTGCCACACAGCTCCCACAGGCACAGTCAGGCGTCCCACTCACTTGGACAGGGAGACGCCACCAGGCTTGCCAATGAGGTCTTCGTGGTGCAGGACGGCATCGCTCCAGGCAATGCCCAGGAAGTCCAGGATGACTTGCAGGGAGCGCCGGGGATGCAGCACCAGCTGCTCATAATACACAGGTAGGCACTTGTCCTTGCCCACCTCCATGCACTGTGCGTACATCACCTCGATGGCCCTGTTCCACTTGGTGAGGCAGTCACGATAGCTGCTGAGGTCAAAGCCAGCAATGGTGACCTTGCGTGTGATCATAGAGTGCACAGAGGCCCGGCCGTCCCGCACCATCAGCAGGAACTTGGAGTTGGGGAACAGGCGTGACAGGTAGACGGAAGACTTAAGTGTGAAGGGGTCCTTATTGCACAGTACACGTGCTGGCTCACCGTGCTTGGCGATCACCTCCAGGATGAAAGCCTGCATGGCAGAGTCCATTACCTCGTCCGTTACACCTGCCTCATCCAACCGCAGCTTCTCTTTGCCAGACTTGGACCACGCCTGGCGCATGGCCAGCACGCGGGGGATGATTCGGGTCTCCTCGCCACAGCGCACTTCCGGATGTGCGTCCAGCATGGCACGCATCAGCGTGGTGCCACTGCGAGGCACGCCACCTACAAAAATGAGCGGCATGGCTTTGCTGTAGCGGTATTCTACATGGTTTGTGCCCAGCATCACCAGCTCCTCCTTCTCTGGCCTCATGGCCCGCTGGGGGCTCCGCGGGCCTGCCAACACTGCGCGACACTCCAGCACCTCCTGCCCGAGCTGCACAGCTAGCACCACGGCCAGCGCACAGCCCGCTGCCAGCAGCACCCTGCGCACTGAGAGGCGCATGCCGGGCCGGGACAGGTCCGGCCTGGAAGGCCACTTCAGCGACAGCTTAGCCTGCGGCTTGCTGGGCTTGCATCTGTGGAGAGAGGAGGACACGCGCAGTCAGGGAGGCATGTGGCCAGCAAACCTTTTGCAGTATGAGCTGGTAGGGACAGTGAGCTGCTAAGTCAAGGGCACAGCACATTTTGTGGACAGTGCCATGTGCACTGTGCTGGGCACTCTGCCTACCTAACTCACAGGAACAGCAATCACTCAAAGGCTCTTGGGGTTCCAGGTGGACAGCCGAGGTTCAAACATGCTTGCATCTTTCCTTGGAAGGGAGCCCCTCGTGTTTCCTTCATTTCTCCACGCTGGAACTGTCTCATCAATAGACAGAGGTGTTGTTCTGACAGTAAATTACCGTAACATTTACTATCAAAAGTTACGATCAATATGTGAATGTGAACTTGTAGCAGTGCATCCACTCTGCCAGGTCCCAGATCTCAGCATGGTGCCTGGCACCTACTCGCTGCTCAGGGAACACTTATGAAATGAAATGAACTCTCGGTGAATGAGCAGGTCCTGGCACACAGTCAGTGCTAGGAAAGAAATCACCCTTGCAGAGTGACGGGGAAATGCAGACACGGAGAACTTAGAGTGGCCCAGTTGGGGAGGAGCCAAGCCAGAGCCCAAGCATCAAGCCCAGGCCAGCCAGCCCTGACACCTGTCCTGAAGGACCACATCCTGCCTGGGCAGGAGACACTGTCTACTAGAGTAAGTGTTCATTCATTTCATCTTCATTTGGCAAATGTTTATTAAACATGTAGAGGTGCCAGACACCTGGCCCGGGGCTGGAATCAGAACAGTGACAAGACAGCAAGGACTCTGAACTCAAGGAATTCAGTTTGAACAAGGGATAGACCGACTGTGGCCTCTCCTTTTAAAGGAAGCAACTAGATAGTGTTGGGGGACCAACGAGGCTAGGAAGAAGAAGGTCAGAGAGGGTCTCTGGGAGCAGTGGCCTTGGAGCTAGACCTGGGTGAGGAAATAGCCATATGAAGATATGCGGGAAGGGTGTTCTGGACACAGGGAACAGCGTTTAAAGGCCCTAAGATAGGAGGGAGAGGTGGGGCAGCAGAATGCTGGGGGACTGTGGCCACCAGGTCTTTGGGACAGATTTAGAGCTGGACTGATTCTATGGCAGCCCTGAGAGGGCCTGCAGGGTATGGAGGGAGTCCAGGCTAGGCGGAGACCACTAGGAATCCAGGGCTGGGCAGTGATGGGAAATGAGGAAAAGGGATCCCCAGGATGTGGACGGGGACCCCAAGTCTACGCTCCTCACCCCTTCCAAAGGCTGCTCACTAAGACCTGACTGCCATGGTGATTCAAACAGGGGCTTACTTAGAAAAGCAGGAGAAGGGCTGGGGATTTAGCTCAGTGGCTTAAGTGCTTACCTGGCAAGTGTGATGTTGAGAGTTCAGTCCCCAGTACCAACAACAGAAAGAAAGGAAGAAAGAAAGAAAGAAAGAAAGAAAGAAAGAAGGAAGGAAGGAAGGATCTTTCAGAATCAACGATCAGATAGGCCTGGGTTCCAGTTTCCCAGGTACAGGCAACAGGCTTAACTTTCTCTCATCTGTAACAGGAGTGTCACCTTCAAAGGTCTGTCGTGAACACTTAACAATCTTCTCCACAGATATCACTGAACAGAACAGGCAACATGGGGATCTGAACTTTGTCCTGCTTCCTATCTATCTGTCTTCTATTTTGCTCTTTGTGTTTGTGTGTGTGTGTGTGTGTGTGTATAAAATGAGTTTCTTGTATAAGAGAAACCATGAAATATTCAATCTTGTGTGTCTGACATTTAACATTATGCTCTCAAGCTGCAACCATTTACCTACAAATGGCTCAAGAATATTTTAATATATATGCTAATTTGTTTCATTTATACCACTATTTTTTCTTAGTCCACTGAAAAGGAAGTTTTGCTGAGTATGGTGGTACATCCCTGTAATTCCAGCACTTGAAAGGCTGAGGTAGGAGGATCACTGAGTTTGAGGTCAGTTTAGGCTACACAGTGAGTTCAAGGCCAGCGTGAACTATATAGCAAGAACCTGGCTCAAAATCAAAAGGTTTTGAGGGCCAGGGATTTAGCTCAGCAGCATAAGCATCTGCTTGGCAAGCACGAGGTCATGAGTTTGATCCCCGCTACCAAAAAAAAAAAAAAAAAGCTTAAAACAAAAAGGTTTTGTTTCTTTTTTTGTGAGAGAATCTTTCTTGTACTCTGAGTAACTATTTTAAATATAATAATACATAATGTATTGACTATTGTTATGTCTTATTATTGTTATGAAATCTTTATTTTTTGATAAAAAAAAATTAGGAAAAGAAAGAAAATACCGAGGAAGGTGAGGAAGTCTTGCCCAGCATGTAGGCAAGATGGGAAAGAATATTAGTGATTTCTACCTTGATCACTGCGCGTTCATTTATTCCAACACCAAATGAGAGCCAGAGTCGGGCTGTGTGCTTAGGGCCGAGCCACATGGTCCTGAGTCTGCTCACATTGTGGATCTACTCAGAAGGGTAACAGGTCCCTGAGCCCTTCTGCAGGAGGCCCTCAGGCCAAGCTCCAGACTGCAGGGAGGAAGTCTGCAGGTGGGGAAGAGCAGCCCCTGCCAAGGCCAGGAAGGCAGAACCTATCACGATCCGGAGCTGCAAGTGGCTTAGTGAACACAAGGGCTGGTGGAGGCCCGGGGAGGTGGTGCTCCTTGCTGGGACAGGAGGTTCAACTGCAATCACCCCAGGAGCTGGTCTGCAGCTGGTCAACATACCCACAGGGCAGAGGCCGCCTAGGCCGCCTTGGGCTACAGCAAGTGAAAAATGAACATCAAAATTGAGGGGCACTGACCAAGGCTGGAGTCAAAATGCTGAGGGCTGTCTGTGGGCTTGGGGAGTCATGGCCCCACCTGAACCACAGTGCCGGCAGCTGCAAAATACGGGAGGACTCATATTGGGGAGGAGCAGTGGGCAAAGCAACAGTGAACATCAGACGTGAGGCAGAAAGAAGCCCTTCCCTGTCAACAGCGCAGACCTGAGACACAGACCCGATCAGTGCCGCTGACAGCACTGGGGGAGTCACCGACACCCTCAATCCCAGGCCTCAGAGAGAAAGGTAACTCCAGGCTATTTTCAGAGGAAGATGGGATGATGGGACACGAAGCCACTCAGAATCCCTCCTAGGACTCTCAGCTGCTTCAAGTGCTCAGGGAAATTCTCTCTTCAGACTGAGAGGGAAGTTCTGCCAGTCACTGGGATCACTGTCAACACCACCAAGGAGCTGTCAGTCACACCTTGACCACTGCCAACAGTCACCCTTTGGGAGAGGAGGCGGAGAAGTGGAATTACTCAGAAACTGAAAATGCCTTCCCAAAGGGCGGGTATAGTGTGAATGCCTCTGTGTGTGAGTGTGTGAGAGAGAGAGTGTGTGTGTGTGTGTGTGGTTTCACTAGCCTCTGGGTTAGTGATTTAGACACTAACTGCCAAAGGAAAAATGTCCATAAGAGGGACATAGACAGAAAAAGGAAAGTGTTACCCACTCTCCTATCTGGTTTAACACTGATTATTTATTTGGCTTCTGAACCTGAAGCTCAGCTACGGCCCTGAGTTTTGGGACCTCACATTGACAGAACTCACTCTCTAAGGCACTTTCCATGCCCCATGTGAACTCAGAGAGGAAGCAGCTTGTCTGGGTTTGCACAGCCAGCACTGTGGGCCTGTGTGAGCCACAGTCACACTGTCCAGAAGAAAACAGCTCCACATGAGCCAGTGCAGAAAGACCTGGAGACGGCTTGAAAGGCCATGGGGTTCCTGGCAGGAGGATGGCAGGGCGGCACTGGACTTGTGGTCCTGCGGGCCCAGGTTCAAATCCCACCTCTGCCACTTGTCCGCTGGTGACCTGGACAAGGGATGTCATATCTCTAAGCCTCCACTGTCTCCACCATTAAGAGGGACAACATGACCCTTTTCTCAAGGCAGCTGACGGGAGGGTCACAGGCTCTGGTGGGAGGCACTAAGTGGGCAGGCGTGGGCACAGGATACTTGGGTCCTGATCATGCCGCAATTTGCTCTGGGATGCCAGACAAGTCCTCCATGGCTGTGGGACAGAGCGTGCTCTCTCTGTCTTCTGAAGACACAAGGAGTGCAGGCTCCTGCACATCCCACGCTGCTGGCACTGCTTTTCCTGGCACAGGATTTCTCAGCAGTGGCGAACAGGGAGTACCAGCCAAGACATGCGCTGACCCTGGGCTTGGGCCAGTGGGGGGTGTGCCAAGGAACTGGGAGGAAAGCTGGGTTGTGTGCATTCTGTGTGTACTCACCTCCCCTGGGCACTCTCATCTCTGCGTCCCAGCCCATGCGCCTGCTCACCGTGGCCTTCTACCAGCACCACCCTGCACAGACAAAGGAGAGGCTGCATCAGCCATGGTGGGGCAGTGGGGGCCAGCCCACTGCAGGGCACTGGAAGGGCCAGCAGGCTCCCCAAAGTGACACTCAGGAAAGAGGCTCTGGCGAAGGATGTCTCCTGTTCTTATAGGAAATGGACTGGCTTGCTTCACAGCCAGAGACATCTGAGCCTAGCAATAATGCGGGCATCAGGGAGATCTTGGGTCTTGGCCAACCAGGCCTTCCCCCTCCTTTTGGAACCTCAGACTTCAAGAAAAAGTAAGTATAACAATAAGCATCAACAGACAGTACACCACTGTCCCCACCTGGGATGCTGGATATGTTCGGTCAGGGTGTGACTGTATAACTCCCAGCCTCTGATGATTAGGGCGCTCCCTGGAACTGCACAATGTCCAGTAACATCGTGTGTTATGTATATCTCAAAAGAGGAAAATACGATGTTTCCAATTTTACAGGCGACAAAACCCAATAGCAACAGGACGAACAATGGATCTGAAGAACAGAACCAGTTTCCCCATCTGGATCTGTGAGACTGATGCCCAGCTCTTACCCACCATGTTTTAGGAATGAGGCTGTTGGGACGGGGCCTGGATATAGCCAAGACTGAGCGAGAGTAAATACAGGAGACTCTGGGTTTGAATTGGGGCACATGGAGCTGAGTGGTATAAAACTCATTTAGTGTGTGGAGCCCTTCAGTCCAATTCAGTCCTTTAGTCCATCTTCCCCCATTTAATAGATGGTACAACTGAGGCCTAGGAGGGGCAATCACTGAGTTCCAAGCTCTTTCCCTACCTCCAGTCCAGTCTCCCTCACTGTGACTGGACTCGTCAGAGCCTCAGGTTACCTACTCTGTAAAAGGACCATGGAGAGGCTCAAGCAAGATAACCTGAACACTTAAAATTATCAGTAAAGATTATTATTTGCACAATGATGGAAATAAACTGGGTGTACACTGCATTTCTCTGTCCTCTCCCCCTCCTGTATTCATCAACCCTCGCCTCTCTGTTATTTCTGAAACCCCAGCCTGATTGGTAATCCAGGTCCAGCTGCAGAAGGGGCTCCAGGTATAACCTGAGCAGCCAGCCCCCATCCTGTCCGCAGACCGCAGAGTCCCCAGGACTCTCCTGGAGCGCAGGCTACCGTGATTCCAGGCCTGCCTTTTGGGAACAAAGACAACGAATCAGGCCCCCGGCACCTGAAGCTGGGCCTTCACAGATCTACTAAGGAAGGTTGGCTCAAGCCCAGCCTGTCAGCCTGCAGCTCCCATCTTCCCCTCCGGAACACAGGCCCTTTTAGACCCACAGGACGGGCCGTTGAGGCTTCCGGTCACTTGGAGTTGTGTGTCCAATACGTAGCCACCAGTAATGTGAAGTTACTGAAATTCAAATTCAGCCAAATTGGATACAATTTCACACACAGCTTCTGCTTCCCACTGGCCACACTTTGAGCATCCACAAGCCACATGGCCAATGTAAACCATGGCGCTCCAACCACATCCAGGTTGGGGTCTGTCCCCGGCCCAACAGCCAGTCTGTCGTATCTGTGGGCTCTGCACAGCCTTCTCCGGCCTCCAGTGGAACATACTTGGAAAAAGCACTGCACCTATACAGAACACATACAGACTCTGTGCCGCTTCCTCTGAACAATGTAGTATAACAACTACCATGCTGGTATTTCACCTGTATCAGATATCAGAAATAATCCAGAGATGATTTAAGGGATGCAGGAGGATGCATGAATATCCCGTCAGTTCATAGAAAAGACTTGAGCTGGGCTGCTGAGCTTCAGATCTCAAAGGGGTCTGCCAGGGAGGATCCTGGGGCCCGTCCCCTGGACGCTGAGGGATGCCTGTGCATTTTATGGAGGGAGGCGGGGAGGAAGGGAGGAAGAGGAGCATCTGCAGCAGTAACATCAGTATGAATCATACGTGCACCGCAAACCCTGACGTACTCAGAGCAGGACATTTACAGAAGTTGGCCTTGCTCAGCACTGGAAGATTCCCACTGCTACTGAGCATCTGTGGGGCAGCACTGCCTTACAGGACGGACACAGACAGGTGTGGGGTCTGCAAGCCCTCCTTTATGGTGGGGAGCACTTAGGAAGCACCACTGTGTACTTCGTGTCAAGCCAAGGGCTGTCCACACTCGACTGCCTTGTTTGCTCACACATCAGCCCTGAGGAGAGGGAGGGGGTCATGCTCCCCACTTCGGGGCCCAGAAGGGCCCTGGTACCAGGCACAGAGGACCATGCTGCACTGCAAAATGACCAAATCAGCTGAACTGATCAACACCCAGAAACCACAGAGAGGAAGAAAGATAAGGAAATGCTACTTGTAGTGTCCAGGGAGATTTTTTTTTCCTTAGAAATCCACTTTCATAATCTCAGCCCTCTGGGAAGCTGAGGCAGGAGGATTTCAAGTTCAAGCACACCTAGGCAATTCAGCGAGATCTTGCCTCAAAATGTTTTAAAACGGGCTGGAGATGCAGCTCAGAGTAAAGGTCCTAGGTTCAATCCTGCACAGCCACTAAAAACAAAAACAGAAGACCCTCTCCATACACTTCCATGGGGCTATTAGAGTGCCTTCCCATACAATAAAATCACAAACTAGTTGATTTTTCAACTGATCCCAGTTGTTCCTGCCACTTGCTGTATGACCTCTCTGAGCCTCACTCTCCTCATCTGTGAAATGGGAATGATACTCTAAAAAAGGTTCACATATGGCTACTGAATATTTGAAATGGCCAGTTTGAACAGGGAACCAGCTCAAGGGAGCCCTGAGGGAGCAGTGAGAGGGGGAGAACTTAGGACACACTCCAGATGCCCAGCCCACAGTGAGTGCTATCTGCGGGCAGCAGCTCTCGAGGTGAGGAGTTTTAATCCCCAATTGATAATGAGGAAGTCCTAGCCCAAGAGATGATGTGATTAGCAGAAGCCACACCAGTAAGAGAAGGTCAGCCTCCAACGTAGCTGTCTCCAAGATGTCATCACTGGTATAGGGTAAATACCAGCGGCTCCTAAAATGAGGGCCACAGGAGACCTGGCTCCCTCTTGGCTACTCAGAGGGTCGGGAACGCTGGGAGATGGCTCCTGGGCCTAGGTGGTCCCCGCAGATGCACATCCATTGAGTCCACAAGGCACCAGGCTCGGCTCAAGCCAGTGGGACATGTTACGGTCACTCGCTCTCACAGAGCTGATGTCCTGGGAGCCACACAGAAACCAGCATGTGAGGCTTAGATGCTTAGAAACAAATGACCCCAGTGAGCAGCAGAGACATCCAGAGGGGATGAAGACGGCAGTGACCTCCTGGCTGGAACCCAGTGGAGCTTTGTAAATCCGTATTCCTCCGAGCCGAGCAGGTACGTGGTTCCCAAGAAAAGATGGGGGAGGGGGGCAGCACACACGGCCCCCTGAAGAAATGTGTCACTGCACTTACACAGCGGCCTTGGAAGGGGGCCCAGGGTTCATGGGTCTCTTAGCTCAGCTCCACCCAGTAGTCGACGTCCTCTGAAGGAACCAGCTCCAAACATTCCGTCACCACGGCCACTGCCCACCCTGCCAGGCCATGGTGACACCAGCTCCCATGGCAGCAAACCCTCCCACGCAGAGCTGGGGGGTCGGGAGCTCTCTCACAGTGCCCCTGTGCATCAGATACCTGGGACCACTCAGGAGGGAAGTCACCCAGAAAAGCCTATCAGGGCCCCACAGCTGAGGAGGGACAAAGTCACTCCATGCCTCCAGCCACTGCACGGGCCTGAAATCACGTGGGGTGGCTGGGGCAGGGACAGCTCAGCCTGACTGAAAGCACAGTGCGTTGTGAGCTGGGACTCTACCTACCTCATTGTCTTTTGTCCTCATAGTCCAGACCTCAGACTCCCCTGATCCTTCCTTACCAGCTATTCATTTAGTACTTAGTACAGCTCAAAGAGGTCAGGTGACAGCCCCAGGACACACAGCTGGCCAGCTGGGGAGCTAGAAGAAAAATTCCCTTCTGTCTCTTGGGTCTGTGTTCCTAAACCTGGGATCCCTTCTCGATTTTCCTTTTTCCCCAACCAAAGCAGAGTCCTCACAGGCCACGCCTGCCACCCCTTAAGGCAGCTCAGCACCCTGTGAGGCACAGCTGAGGGTGGGGAGAGATGAGCCCAGCGACCACATCTAGGCTCCTCCACTCGGGGCTGGGTGTCCCGCAGCAACCCCTGGCAGCTCTCTGAGTCTCCGTGCTGTCTGCGAGGTGGGAACAATGCCCAAAGCAAAGCACACTGTGAACAGTGACACAGTTTCCGCCCAGACTCATATGCTCAGTGTGCAGAAGACTGGGTCACTGTCACAACCCCACATGGGCACAGTCCAGCAGGGACACACAGAGTCCAAGGAACGTGTGGTCCTGGGATGTGGGGTCACGATGACTTCTTCCCTCTGTGTCTGTTTCCCAAACTTCCTGGGACTGGTTCACTGTCCCCATGTGGGGTGAGCGGGCTGTGTTAGTGAATGCCCACAAAGTCACTGTCTTTGCCCCAGCTACACTGCCTCTGTAACATAACAACACAAGGACACACAGATGACACATACATGAAAGCAAGTGGCCGTCTTCCAGCCAGACCATTTACAGTCCAGGCAGCAAGATGGAACTGGTCCTGTGGGTCACAGTTCACCACCTCCCTCCTCTATATCACAGAAAGACAACGTGAGCGTTACATGACCCTGGTGCGACATGGGTAAACCCACAAAACTCAACTGTGGCTGGTGATAGTGGAGGTCACTGTGTTTTGTAATGTTTTTAAAAAGCAGCAAACAAGGGCCAGGGATATAGCTCAGTGGCATAAGCACCTGTCTGGCGAGTGCAAGGTCTGGAGTTAGATTCCTGGTACAAAAAAAAAAAAAAAAAAAATCAAATAGTAGCATATCAGGTGTGGTGGTGCATGCCTATAATTCCAGCACTCAGATCGCTGCAAGTTCAAGGCTAGCCTGAGCTACAAAGTGAGTTCAAGGCCAACCTGAACCATATAGTGAAATCCGGCCTCAAAAAAGACAAAAAAAAAAAGCAGTGCATGGATGCATAGAAAATCATCCAGCATTCTGTCTGATACCAGGACCCACCTAAGAGGGAGAAACATGTGGGCACCTGGAGGTTTTACATAACCCAACCCCAAAGGCAGGAGCTGTTAGCCCCGTTTTATAGGAGAAACTAAGGCTCAGAGGGGGAAGCTCCGTGGGAAGTCACACAGTTGGTAGGTGAGGGGCTGAGCCTGAGCTGGACCCCTGGACTGTCTGAGGATAGAGCTCTGGCGCTGAACCCCTTCCCCAAATCTCTACCCCAACCACGTACACAGATGGGGGCGCACTTTGTCCCAGACAAGCAGCTGCTCAGGCAGTGCCAGCTCAGATCCTTACCCTTACCCCCAGGCACTGGTGCAGCCCTGGCCTCGGGCCACCTGCACAGAATCACGCAGGGCCCCCGCCTGGCAGGCGATGCAGACTGGAAGCTGCCAGGACACCTTTGTGGGGGCTGCAGCTTCCTGCACCCACATGCCCTTCCACCATGGGCTCCTGCCTCCTCTTCTCAGCCAGGAAGCATCTCCTGTGCATGGAGAGGGAGGAGCACACCCAGCCTGCAGCCAGAGGCCCCGCTCTGCTGATTAAATAAAGGAACGGATGTAAAGCACTCAGCACAGTGCTTCTCCGTGTCATCATTATCCCTCTCATACAGGGAGAGCCTTAAAATTCCACGTGCTTCACAACAGTCTGAGATGTAAAAAGGCAGATTCTTGGCACCTGCCCCAGATTCATAAGGTTTCCATCAACGACAGAGCACACAAGCTAGTAACAGAGCTGAGCAATTCCTATAGGCCACAATAAGGACACAGTACAACACATTCCTCGTGTGTGTGGTGATGAAGGACTCAATAAAAACTGCTGACTGCCACTGTACAAGTGTCACACACATGAGTATGTACAGTACAAAAGCCTCCTAATGACACTGAAGCACTACGGTACTTGTTTATGTCATTACCGTGCTATGCACTTCACCACTATTGTAAAGTATATTCCTATTTATAAAATAAAGTTTACTAATGGGACACAATGGTGTGTGTCTATTAATGCCAACACCCTGGGAGGCTGAAGCAGGAGGATCACAAGCTGGGAAACCCAGTGGCTCAGTGAGATCCTGTTTTGAAATTCAAAAAGAACAAAGGGCTGGGGATATAGCTCAGTGTGAAGGCTCTGGGTTTAGTCTCTAGCACTGCAAAAATAATAATAATAATAAAAAATAAAATGGGCTGGGGATGTAGCTAAGTGGAAAGACCCTAGCTCAACCCTCAGGACTACAAAACAAAAACAAGAAAACCCCCAAATTTACTCTAAGACATCTGCTACAGTGTGTGCCTCTTCTCCAGGTTGCATCAGCATATGTCAGGTGACGACCTACACCATCCGAGAGCGCACAGGACACTGTATGATGTTTGCACACTGGCAGGCTGCACAAAGGTGCACTTATCAGAACACGTCCCAGTGTAAATCAATGTGTGACTATGTTCAGATTCAAGAGACGGACGGCACCTGGAGGTCTGCATCTTAGCGAGCGCTGCCTCCCTCTCCCCTCTCTGTGAAATACTACCTAGGGCACAGAACCCGGCCTTCAGGCCTATTGATCAGGCGCCCACCAGAGCTGGGCACAGGGAATACAATGATTACGTCTTAGAAGGGTACAGCGTACACATCCCCAAGTGGAACACATCTTGAGGATGACTGTGGCTCAACTACTTATTGCTGTGTGGCCTACAATCAGTGGCTTCTCCTCTCTGAGTCTCGGTCGTCTCACCTCCCTGGAAACAGCACGGGCCTCCCTGAGCTGCCAGAAGGCTGGCAGAGAGGGATTCGGCAACATGAGCTACCGTCGTGTGCTATCTTTCATTGGCACAGACACAGCCCAGCCCATGGGAGTGTGCAGGCCATGGGGAGGGTGGCTCAGCAGCACAGAGCAGCAGGGAGGGAGGAGAAAACGGCTGTGCAGGCAGTTGTGGTGCCAAGTCCAGCCCAGAAACCAAGTGACACCTTCCAGCCCTGGGGCGAGAGACGGACCCCACAGCAAAACAACATCCAGTCCAATCGCTGGCTGCAACCGCATCCTGAGGGGAGAAGTGCACCTCCCGGCCACAGATCAGACCACAGCTCAAAACGCAGAGCTCCCGCAGCTGGGTCACATCCAGCTCTAACAGGTTCCCTCGCCTCTTGTGTGCCAGGGAGCCCTCTGGCTGCCTACAGACCCTTCCACAATAATGTTTTTAAATGGAATAAAATAAAATATGGAGGATTAAAAGGAAGTCAATACAGTAAGATCTGGCAAAGAACACCACTATAAAACATGCTGTGATATAGTAACTCATGTGTTCCTTTATTAAAGCAATAAATAACACAACCCAGAGGCAGCCAGAAGAACTGCTATAATTTGCATGCTGAGATGAATGAACTTATCTGTAGCAACTGAGATGTAGTGGGGAAGTATGTGGGGTTTTTATTGGCCATCTTGCTCCTGCCTTACATTGGTACCTGCAGGGATTGGTAAAGTAGGGCCAATAAGGATGTAATTCTTCCCCATCCAAATTCCTGAGCCCCTAGAGGGGGCCCCCTAGTTGGGCCCCAGATTAAGAAGGCCTGCTGGGACCTGGCTCTACTGTGGATGCCCACCCTGGACTCCTGGGCCAGGGAGGTGGGTCCTGCCTCAGGAAGGTATAGACTCATCCTCTCCACTCCTGCCTGCTCTCATAGTGAAGAGTGACAGGGCTGCCACCCGAGAAAGCTGGGTGGCAGATTCTGGAGCAGGGTTCAGATGCTCTGGCTTTATTTTAAGAAACAAAAATAGCAAAGAACAACTCTTTGGAAAGAAACATGCCTGCTACTCAGCCTGGCATCCCATGACCGTGGATAATAAAAGAACATGAGGAACAAGGTGCGGTGGTGCATGCCTGTCAAGAATCTTAAATTTGAGTCTAGCCTGAGTGACTCAGTGATTTAGCAAAACTGTGTCCCAAAATAAAATGGAGTAACGATGTAGCTCGGTGTAGCATGAGCCTAGGTTATATCTCAACAGTCGGTGAGAGGAGACACCGGCAGGTGCAGAGAGCCCCATGTGGCACCAGCAGATTGGGTGTACACATGCTTCTGCTCACTTCCTCTCTCTGGGTCTCAGTTTCCTCACTTGTAAAATGGGCCTGCTGTGCAGATTAAGTGAGATGAAGGCTTACCTGGGAAAGAGAGCAGAGGATCTGCCTGACACACTGCAGCTCTTCCTGAAATGTGGGTCCCACACAGACCTACTCACTGGAAATCAGCAGCTCTGGGCAAGGCAGAGGAGACTGCCAGGGCCCAGCCTATGCTGGCCTTGAACACCAACTAGGAAGCCTCGGGTCACCCAGGGGCAGCAGGAAAGCGTACTGTGGTTGGCATCTGTGAGAGGACACAGGCTCTCTCTGGTACAGAATGGCTTAGAAAAGAAGTCAGAGGCCAGGCGGGAGCCGCTGGGGGTGGAGAACCAGATGCCATCGAAAGCGGGAGAGGAGAAGGTGGTAAAGGAGCCAGACACTGGCGATGGAGGACAGGGTGACGTGGAGAGCGCCCCACTTGGCCTCATGTGTTGACTCAACTGCTGGATAAACAACTCCCAGCCTCTCCCGGGGGGACCTCACTGGTCATAGCTGTCAAATGGGGAGACACCACAGACGGGAGGCAAGAGGCTGGCCTGGCAGCACTGGGATAGCATGACTTTGAGCATAAAACATATGGGGCCTCAGACAAAACAAAAACAGAAACGAAAAACCCTCAGAAACCAAGATCAATTATGTTTCATGCAATCTTTCCCAGGTGAATGCAAAAAAAAAAAAAAATCCACTATGAACACATGCATCCTGTTTTTAAACAGGACAGATAACAGTGTCAGAGCTCCCTATATGGGAGTCTGAGGCCAAATGGAAGAGAAATCAGTAATATGGATCCTGTTCGTACTTACAGTTTAGATACACTGTTCATCATGGATATTTTTGCATGAATTTAGCTTTTCTTCTAACAGCTTTCAGATACCACTCACATATGCGATTCACTTGAATGATGTTTAGTATAATCACAGAGTTTACTAGTTCCTGGATGATCAGTGTATTTGAAGGGGTAGATGCAGAGTTTTAGTACGGTAACGTGCATCATCCCAAAGAGAAACCTCCTGGCCCTGCGCTTAGCTACCAGCCCTAGTCCCTCCTCTCTCTCCAGACCTCGGCAGCCACCCGTGCCCTTTCCGCTCTGTGCCTTCCCTGTCTTTGGGTACTACCCACAATGGAGTCACATCATCTTGATGGTCTGCTTCTTCCACTTAGCCTACTCTTCTCAAGGTTCATTCCTCAGTTTGGGTTTTTAAATTTTTATTAAAATATTTATGTTGATTACTTGTACACTCAAATTCCAGCCCTGCTACCTAGGACTGCTCTGGTCACACCCTGGTTTGTGCAGAGCCCCCAATCCATGGCATGGTTCTGGCCACACTTTACCCAGGAGCTACAAGTTTGAGATCCCCAGCACCCTTCCCCTGACCTAGATGGTAGAGGCTTCTGGGAGGGAGCCTCTTAGGGGAGCAGGTTCCTTCTAGAGCCATTCTGCTTCCCACTTGCCAACAAAATTCTGCTCTGCTTTGCAGTGAGCGCTTACTGAGCACCAGTTGTATACATCACACACATTCACTTTGCAGCATCCACAATGACATTCATGACCAAGGTAGGCATTACGGGAAGAGAGATGAGCGCTGGATAAGAGTCAGGGGCCTGTATGTTGAGTTCATCTGTGCTGCTCCCTGGCTGTTCAGCTCAGAGCAGTGTGTCCAAACCGCTCTGAGCCTTGGTTTCTTATCTGTGAAACAGGGCCTGCGGGGCTGTCTCCAGAAGACAGTGACACTCCTTGGTCAGCTGTCACATAATCAAGGGTGATCACTGGCTGCACAGTCACTCACCGGGGCTCACCTAAGGGCGTCAGAAGCTCCATCGGACCGTCCGGCTGCTATGGAAGGGAGGCACATGGGTGTCTGCTCTCACAGATGAGCAAAGCGAGCTCTTTGTCCAGCACCACACCGCAGACTGCAGCAGGGTGAGGACTTCAACCGAGGCAGGCACTGGAAGCCTTGAGAAAGCCTGCGGCTTAGGTGCCAGGTGGCTTCGCCTCTGCTATGTACGAGGCTCTTCCCATGAGACACCTTTGTACAGGTCCTCGTGGGGTCAGAAGAGTGGACCCCACAGATCCTGGAGAAGGCAAAGGACACCTCTGAGAAGGTCCATCCTTTTCTTTAGGGGTCCGGAGAGGCTGTCACTATGACTCAGCCTGTCTACCACATATGACAGTCCCCTTTCTATGGACATTCTGTTACCATGGCTGTGGCATCTGAGGGAGAGTTAACCTCAAAGAACAGAGCAGAGCAGAGCCTTTCACACTCCAAGATGAAGGCGAAATGGATTCAAATCTTTGCCATGCTGCTAAAGCATCAGGCTTCTCTCTTCCCGCTCTGGGAATCAGTTTCCCCACTGGTGATTTCCAGGGCGAGGCCATGTTCTGTCTCATGCCCTGGGCTGGATCTAGCCCCAGCAACCAGCACCTTGATGGAACCAAGCACCTCACACAGCGCAAGAAGAGCACCCTGCCACTGACCCAGGCCCCAACCCCAAGGCCAATGTTAAGGGGCAAGGCATCAGGTCCCACGTTTGTATAGTCAGGGTCCTCAGGGTGACACCTCTCAGGTGCCAGCAGGGTGGAGTGAGACAACATAGCCATTGCTCAGAGGTTGCTGAACCAGGTGATGCCCTGGACAGTGCTGCCAGGATGCGCCACACCATTAACTCTCTGTAGCTCCAGTGGCAGAAGGAGGTCCTAGATGAGCTCCTCGCCTCTCTGAAGCCCAGTGCCCACTCTGGAAAAATGGAGCCCACTTCAGCAGGCTGTCCAGAGGGCTCAAGAGCTCACTTGCTTGCAGCAGACAGCCTGGCAACCTGCAGGGGCAGAAGCTGAGCTGGTCTGGACTTCACCCCAGACAGATGGGCAAGTTCCTGCACTACATGCTTCTCCTGCTAGGAGGAGCTGAGCCCACCATTTCTTCGGCTAAGGCTGTATATCCAGCTACCACTGGCCCCTCTGACTGCCAACCAGTCTCCCTTTCATCCTTAGCCAGCAGTAGGATCACAGTCTGCCTCACAGGCACATATCATTAAGAGAACACAGGAGATGAGGCTCACAGCATGGTGGCTTGGGGCTAAGGGCACAGGCAAGGGCTCCGAGGAGGTGGGGCTCTGCCAAGGAGGGACCATGAGACCTGGGACCAGTGAACACCAACAGGCTTAGTTTCCACATACGTAAAATGGGGTTAGGCCACCCACCTAAGATCTACTGTGATGACTAACTAACGGACCAGTGGCTTAGGGTAAAACTTGGCAGGAGAAGAACCCAGTAAATTCCAGCAATTAATTTCTCATCATCACTAATTAGGGAGCAGTTAGACGTTCCACAGTACAATTGCCACGGAAGTAGTTATGGCTTCAAAGAAGAAGAATTCATCAGGCTGTAAGAAAGTTGTCAAGGATAAAAAGGTTATCTGATCCCTTTCTGGTACTTATTTATAATTGGGAAAAAAATTTCTCCAAAGAAAGAATCTAAAATGTAAGCCAGGGCTTCTAACGTTAACACCCCTTCTTTTCTGAATCTCCCATCTGCAGTGAATATGTATCAATGGTGGACAAAAAAATCAAAGACTGAAAAACTGAAGTGGGTGCTTTTGAGATTTGCTATGAAACTTTGGGACCTTGAGCCTAGGGAGAGCCAGCAGTGGCCTTGGAGAAAGGTCTGGGCAAGCAAGCCAGGAAGGCAGGGCTGGCCAAGGTCGTACAACAAGGTCATGAGGCAGGCAGGCCTGGCCAGCCCCTAGCACCCAGTCCCAGGGCTTCCAGGCACCCGAGGCTGCTGGCCCACACCTTGCAAGCAGACGACTGCAGATCACAGCAGGGCACGAGCGAGGTGACCCTGGACAAGACATGGGCCTCTTTGGGCTTGCATTCCTGTAGGTAAAATGAAAGGCCAGACACATCACCAACGGGCTGCTGGGAAAATTAAATAAGATACAGACTGCATAAGGAGTTTTTGTGCCCTGCCGGGCAGACACCAGTCTGCCTCCTGTTATCAATATTTACCATGATTAGTCCAGGCTGAGCACTCCTCACACAAGCACCCCAAATCCCAACTTTCCTTAGCACTGTCACAATGCTCAGAAAGTTTCAAATTCTAGAAAATAGAATTTCAGATATTTGGATTAGAGATGCTAACTGGTAAAGTGTCTGCAAATATTCCAAAATTTGAGAAACTGCAAAAAAAAAAAAAAAAAAAAATACAAACTCTGCAAACACTTCTGGTCCCAAATATTTTGGATGAGGGACCCTCAACTCAGTCTGTACTTGGAATTCAGCTGCCTTGTGCAGAGTTCTCTGTAGGACATGCAATGCCAACCATTATTAGTGGGCACAAAAAAGAATATTGAGAATTGAACACGAGGGAACTATGGTAGGTGTTTGAGCAGCATGACTGTGAAGTGGCACAGGGGTGACAGCCAGTGCCCCCCTACAGAGAATGTCTCTGTCAAGATCCTTCCTCACAGGCTCCACAACCCTGGCCGTCCTCCCTGTGCTGCTGAGCAAAACCACCAAGCAACTTCCACAGGCTCCACCCCAGCTGGGCTGCCTCTCGGGTACCGAGCCGGCTGCTGAACACCAAATAGACAAATTGGCTCAATGGAACTGGTCAGATGACCAGAAAGCCAGACAGTCAGAGGAGAAATGGCTCCTACTTTACAAGAACTGGTGTTCTGCTTAGCTCCTACCTTGCTGTGTAATCTTGGGAAAATCCCTTGCACTCTCTGAGCCCCAGGATGCCCTCATGAAAAATTTCTGTGCACTTAGAGGCAGCTGGAAAAAGGCATGCCATAAAACCACACTGGTTCTCTCCAGCAGCCGCGCCCCCGCCAGAGCGCCGAGTACTCCCAGCGCTCACTGTTACCAGCGTCTCATGGCTCTGAAGTCAGCCCTGCCCCGCGATTCGGTCCTTCACTTGAGGTGCTGGGGACTGAACCCAGGGCCTTCACACTGAGCCACATCTCCAGTCCCATTCTGAGCCTCTATTTTTTGTCTCACTAAGTTACTAAATTGCCCACGCTGGGCTCAAACTTTGGATCCTCATGCTTCAGCCTCCCAGAGCTGGATTACAGGTGTGTGAATTACCGGGAATTACTGGGATTACAGGTGTGCCCCCCACGCGTGGCTTCCTGGCGCCTACTTTAACAGTCAGTTTAGCTGCTCCCCTCAAGGGTACACTCTGCATTCTAAAAGGACCCGGGGCGAGGGGGCTGCTGTGACATCTCTCCTCCTGTGCTCTTCCCTCTTTTCAAAGAGGTGGCTGCCATTGGTCAGTGGGGTGGGGGAGCCCCCATACCCACTTTTCTTAGATTAGAGCCAAACACATACTGGAATACAAGCTGCACAAGACCTTGCTCCCTCCTTCCCAGCCACCGGCCCCCGCTCCCTGCCTTCCTTTTGGCCACCTGAAAACCTACTGCGCCGAGAGGGGACTTTTCCCCTTGTGGGACAAATGGCGTTATCTGCAGCCACTCTGGATGGTCACAACCCACAGCATTCACTGGGGGGAGGCAAGATCATTGCAAAATACCCTACAGTACTGCACACAGACCTCGGCTCAAACGTCACCAGCTCCACACGTCCCACTGAACCAAGGCGAAGGAGCCCTGGCTTATTCGCAGCCGACTGGAACACAACTTGGCTCTGTCTACACTAGGGTTTTATTCTAACAGGAAATGGGGCTTGAGCAACCACCGTGTGCAGGGCCCTGCCTGGAGCCACACCCAGTCCGTGTGCCAGTGCAGGTGCTGTCCTTCCACTCTCTGAATGGCTCCCGAGCACCCCAGGGGCTATGGGACAGCATTCTGTCAGCCAGGACCTTCCTGACGGTATCTAAATTGCTTTCATCTGCGGGGCATGGCAGCACATGCCTGTAATCCCAGCACTCCGGGGAGTTGAGGCAGGAGGACAGTCTACCTGAGCCCAGCCTGAGGGTGACTTAGAAAGGCCCTGTCTCAGAACAAAAATAAAAATAAAAATAAAAATAAAGAGCTGAGGCTATAGGTCGGTACAAAGGCCCTGGGGTCAATCCTCAGTACTACAAAAACAGAAAAGAGAAGAATCTTTGATTCTTTGAAGCAGGGCACCTGTTACAAAGGGATTTGCCTCTTTATGACCATGTGAGGTGCCCTGGGGTCTTGCAGGGCGCCCATCCTGGATGCACCCATCTATATTTTTGTTTGCTTCTGGTGCTGGGGATGGAACTCAGCCCTTTTGATACGGTACGCACAGGCTCTACCACTGACTCACATGAGTTAGCACGTTTAATATTTTGTGACTGGGTTGTCCAGGCTGGCCTTGAACTTTCCTCAGAGATGCTGAGTAGCTGGGCTTACAGGTGTGCACATGTACACCAGGCTCCGTCTGCTTTTCAGCCAGGCCCCAGGTACCCTGCACACGCTGAAAGCACTGTCTAATGAGGGACTGAGGCTCAATAGTAGGGTGCTTGCCTTGAATACGCAAGGCCCAGGGTTCCATCCCCTAAAACAAAATAAAACCCAATGTGACCAAGGAAGCACTTCTGGACTGGAGCTATCTGGAGTGGGTGGTTTGGGGCCAGGTTCCCTCTGTTTCCACAGACCCTGCCAAGCACACTCCAAAGGCACCCCACCCCCAGCTGTCTACAACTCTCTGCAACACCAACTTTGAGTAGTTCAACACTGCCATTTTTGCCAAGCTGGCAATTACTCCCATTTCACATGTGCAGACAGAAGCTGAGTAAGATATTCAGACAACTGTGCCGACAGCGGCCAATTTCCAACGCTCCGCCAGGCTCTGGGTTTCAGGATGCAGCCACCACGCAGGGGAGGGCTGGAGCAAGTTGGGAAGGGGACAGCTTACGTAGGAAAGAGAGGAAAGATCCTGAAGAGGGGGACGGGCCTGAGTGCCCCTGGGCCAGCTCAAGGTCAGTCATGCAGGACAAGGACCATGTAAACATCGGGCAAGCCTTGGGGACATGTACAGAGGATGATACCAGGCATGAAGGTCAGCAGGGAAAAGGCCCCAGGGCCAAGCAATGGCTGGATCCCCAGTTTTGCTCCCACCAGGTGCATGTCTCACCTCAGTCC